TATTTGATGTTTATCATTTTTACTCAAAAAGCTTATGCGAAAATAGTTAAGAACTTGTATTTTTCTACGACATTTAGAGTCTGATATTTTTAAGGATTTGAAATTTTGATAGTACAATTCTAGACTAAACGTTCAAAAATTCAAAGCTTAATGTTATAATTATCGATGTAGTTCTTTTACATTATCTTTACTTTTTTATATTGGATATTTAAATTAAAGAATGAAAGTTCAAAACTTGTGGTTAGATTTAAATTTTAGTTTCAATCCAAAATTTGCAACTAACAATTAACACACACATATTTAAGATTAAATTATCACTTACCTTATTATATTCCCATTGCTTGTTTTTAGCATTTTCGTTTTATTATTTAAGCATTCATATTTAAGATATTTACATAAATTTTTGAGATATAATCCTTAAATTTTTATTTTAATTCAAATTTCAGTTTCATATAATGCAAATATATTCAGCATTTCTAAAAAAAAATGCTTTCTATTTTCATTACATTACATAATATAATAATTCAGGAAAATACTACAGTCTCGTTACGGTATCATTCCGTCGAGTGTTTTAAGCGTTGGATTCACTGCATTAAATTCTTGTTTTAGGACATATGATTCAACGGTTAAATCACCCAATGAGATAATCCCGTAACGAGATCGTAGAACTTTCCAAAAATCCAAATGCAAAAAGATTGGGTTGAAGTACAAAGAAGACAAATAAATAAAAATGTCAAACCCCATAAAGTCTGATACGTGTCCTGTGCAAAAGCCACTGTTACATCACTGCATTAAGTTAGCTGCTTTCATGGTTGCTCCAAAATTCCAAATTATGCAGTTGGGCTGCTTTAATTACCTTAAATATCTTCACACACACCTTCACTTCAAACATGAATTTAATGCAGTGCAGTGGCCCTGCTTTTCTTCAATGGCAGCTCCAAAATAAAATCAAAATAAATAAAAATCTCGGAAAATGCTATGGTTTCGTTACGGAACTTTACGGAACTATTCAGTCAAGATTTGTAACCGTTAGATCAACTATCTCTGACGGTTAAATGATTACCTAACGGTTATAAATCCCTACGGATGATCCCGTAACAGGAGCTTAGCATTTCCCAAAAATCTGATCTTTTCATATCTGAACTCAACACAGTCACGAAACAGAAAAAAACACAGCTTCTCTTAAATCTCAACTAATCCATAAAAAAAAAAGGAAAAAAGAAAAAAAGACACCAACTTTCCAACTTTTAAATAATGGATAAAAAAACATTCTTTTTCAGTATTCAAATCATTCTCATCCTATCAACCGCCGCCGGCGCCGCCGTATCAGCTGTTCCGACCTCGAACGCCGATCAAGAATCGCTAGTGGCCTTCAATGCCTCGATTACCTCGGACCCTTTACACGTCACGTCCCGAAACTGGTCCGACCGGTCTCCGGTCTGCTCGTGGGCCGGCGTCTCGTGCAGCCCCGGATCAAGAATCACCGCCCTCAATTTTTCCGGCTACGGTTTTCGAGGCGCCCTGTCTCCAAACCTCGGCAACCTGACTTTCCTCACCTCGTTAGACCTCAGCTCGAACAACTTCACCGGCCCTATACCAGACGAGCTCTCTAATCTCGGTCGTCTGAGTTTTTTAAATCTCGGGTTCAACGACCTCGCCGGAAAACTACCGTCCTGGCTGGGAAAATCGCCCCTGCTCGAGTACGTTTATCTGAACAACAACAATTTTTCCGGAGAAATCTCACTCGGGCCGTCCGGCGATGGCCGTTCGAAGCTGAAAGATTTGAACTTGGCATACAATTCGCTCTCCGGCGATATTCCCGCGGATATCGGTAACCTCACCGCCCTGGAGAGGCTCGACCTGAAGTACAACCAGTTATCGGGTCGGATCCCGGGCGGCATTTTTAACCTGTCGGGTGTTCGGGCCATCGATTTGACAAGCAATGTCCTGTCAGGCGAGCTGCCGGAGAATATATGCAACGGTATTCCGGCAATCACCGGACTTTATCTGTCGGCGAACATGTTGGAGGGGCGAATACCGTTTGATATTTACAAGTGTCATGAGCTAGTCGACTTATCTTTGTCGTTTAATCATTTTAACGGCAGCCTGCCGAGGTCGATCGGGTGGTTGAGCAAAGCAGAGAGGTTGTTTCTTGGGACAAACAGCTTCAATGGTAAATTTTTTCTTCCTTTGAAGTATTTGAATAGCAAATATTAGTATATCACATGGTTCTTGTTCAAGTGCTAGCAAAAACTATGCTGTATAACGAAAAATTCGATAAAATGTTAGTACTTTTTTTCTCAGGGGGGTTTCCATTGGACGTACGCAATCTCACAAGCTTGCAAGTCCTAAGCATGCGAGGTGCATCCCTAACGGGCGAAATCCCGTTTTCGGTATTCAACATGTCGTCTCTGCAAACGCTCGATTTTGCCAACAACAGCCTCTCGGGAAATCTCCCGGATGATACTTACATTAACCTTCCCAATCTCCAGCAGCTCTTTCTTCACTCCAATTTGCTCACCGGTCGAGTTCTCGACAAATTATCGAACTGCAAAAGCCTCTCGGTCATATCGTTGTGGGGTAACCAATTCACGGGTCGCATACCTAAGCACATTGGGAATCTAACAGACCTCAAGTACTTGTATATTGCTAATAACAACTTTACAGGTATATGTTCATAGCTCATAATTCATTAGCTAACTCAAATTTGGCTCATGAACATTCTAGAATCTTCTCGTCATCCTTTTTTGGTCAATAAAATCTTCAAAAAACCCGACAGGCGAATTACCGGACGAGCTCGGAAGCCTTAATTTCGCCGAGATCAATTTGCGCAGCAATCAGTTATCCGGGCCAATCCCATTTTCCATATCCAACATGTCGGCATTGCAGATGATGGAGCTCTCATTCAATCACTTCTCGGGCCCACTCCCTTCCACCTTCGGGCTTTTGCTGCCCAGCCTGAAGACGCTTTATTTGACCGAAAACAGGCTCAGTGGGCCAATCCCGAGAGCCATCACCAATGCATCAAGCCTGACAATCTTGAGTATGGGCTCGAACTCTTTTTCGGGCCCAATGCCGTATTTCGGCAGCTTAAGCCTCTTACAGCGCCTCTTGATTGGTGGAAATAATCTAACCGGACCGCGGTCTCCAAATCAAGAACTTGGATTTTATACCTCGCTGACAAATTGTCGGCATTTGTTCGAAGTAGAAGTGTCGTTCAATCAGCTGAACGGTAAACTTCCTGCTTCGATAGGAAATTTTTCCAACAGCTTTCAGATTTTTCGAGCATTCGGGTGTGGAATAAGAGGTCCAGTTCCAGTTGAGATTGGAAATTTGACTAATTTAAGAGATTTGTATTTGGACAGTAATGAGCTGACAGGTCCTCTCCCGAGCTCGCTCGGGAATTTAAAGCAAGTCATACGCATTTATCTCGAGTACAACAAGCTCGAAGGGCAGATTCCGAGCGAGCTTTGCCGATTGAGCAAGTTGGGGGACATTTATGTGAGTCACAATAAACTCGAAGGCCGAATTCCCGCTTGTTTTGGCGATTTGAAATCCTTGAGAGGATTGTATCTCGATTCCAACAGATTGGAAAATGAAGTGCCTTCGAGTTTATGGCAGCTTAACGATCTCTTGCGCTTAAACTTGTCGACTAACAGCTTGAGCGGCTCTATACCGTCCGAGGTTGGGAAATTGAGGGCTCTCGGAGATTTGGACTTGTCGTTGAACAATTTCACAGGCCGAATCCCGAGCTCTATTGCGAAAGCCGAGTCGTTGATTTTTCTGTCGTTAGCTCATAATAGATTTGAAGGGTCCATTCCCGAGTCGCTCGGGGAGTTGAGTGGTGTGGAAAGCTTGGATCTTTCTTACAATAGCTTTTCGGGATTTATACCTAAATCTTTAGAAAAGCTCGTTTACCTTAAACGCTTTAATGTGTCGTACAATAGGCTGGAAGGTGAAATTCCCTCGGGAGGAAATTTCAAGATCTTCACTTCTCAGTCGTTTGTGAATAATAACGGTCTATGTGGCGTGGCTCGTTTGGATGTTCGACCGTGTGGAGGGACAAAGTCCAAGAATGTAGCCGAAAAGTTGGTGAAATTGAAATACATTTTACCTCCTTTCATATTAGCTGTCATTTTGGCTATAGTGGTTTTTCTACTAATGAGAAGGCGTAAAACGACTATAGAGATGCCCGAAAACGAGACCTCGTTGCTCAAGACATGGAGAGGGAGTTCCTATTTGGAGCTTTTACGAGCAACAAATGATTTTAGCGAGAGAAACATTCTCGGACGTGGGAGTTTCGGTTCTGTATACATCGGAACACTTTCCGATGGCCTAACTGTAGCGGTCAAAGTTTTCGACTCGCACTCCGAAAAAGTGGTCAACAGCTTTGACCGGGAAATCGAAGTCTTGAGCGCCGTTCGCCATAGAAATCTAATCAAGATCCTCGGCTGCTGCAGTAATTTGGATTTCAAAGCTTTGGTTTTGGAGTATATGCCTAATGGGAGTCCCGAAAAGTGGCTGCATTCGAATGATTGTTTTTTGGAACTCCTGCCGAGGTTGGAAGTAGCAATAGATGTTGCCTCGGCATTAGAGTATCTTCACACGGGACTCGATTTTCCCATCGTTCATTGCGATTTGAAACCGAGCAATGTTTTGCTCGACAAAGACATGACGGCACACGTTAGCGATTTCGGTATAGCTAAACTGTTTGGCGAAGGGGAGTTTATGGCTCAAACGAGGACCTTAGCCACGATCGGTTACATGGCGCCGGGTAATAACTTTTATCTCCTTTTTATTTTTGTCGCTTCATGCTTAAACAAAAAAATTTCACATAACAGAGATTTTTCGTTCGAACTCTCAATCCAGAATATGGAGCTCAAGGAATAGTGTCGACGAGTGGCGACATCTACAGTTTCGGCGTAATGCTTTTGGAAATGTGCACGAACAGAAGGCCGACGGACGAGATTTTCGGTGATGATATGAGCTTGAAGAGTTGGGTGAGAGTATCGTTAGACACGAACAAGATAACCGAAGCTGTGGACCCGAGCTTTCTTGGAGCGGACGATTTGAATTTCTCGGGTAAAGAGCGGTGTTTGGCTTCTGTTATGAGTCTGGCAATGGAGTGTTTGGCGAATTCGCCTTGGGATAGGATTGGGATTAGTGAAATTGTGGGCAGATTAGAAAAAATTAAAGCTGTGTTTGTAGCAACAGCTGATAAGTTAGCAGGCAGCAATGTTTCATATTTCAGAGCTGCTGTGTAGATCTTTGTCATAGTTATACATTTTACTGTCCTTGGATAAAATGCAGTGAATAGGCTAACAATGTTCATATTACTGGATTGGTGTTTCAATAGGATTATTTGTTTCATTGTTTTTTTCTGTCTAGTTATATATATCTTTCGATTTTGATGAAATCATAAACCAAGTCGACTCAAGCCTGGGCTCGTTTATGAAGCTCGAGCCTCAATGAACCGAGTCAAGCCAGACTTAGCAGCTCTAAAACAAAGACAGACTAACTTTAGCTCTAAATCAACAACTGAGTAATAAACAATTGCAAAGAGAAAACTCCAATTCAAATTCTCATCCAATCAATCTATTTGATGAAGTCATGAAGGTGTGATGACGAGCCCGATGGCGATTTTGGTGTCGTCTGGGGAAGTTGTGGGTCGATATAGGAACTGGGCTTGGAGGGAGATGTGAGCTGGTGTGAAAGTGCAGGCCTGTTCGCAGGATCTAGCCAGGAGAGAACCTGAAGGAGTGCAAGTTAATGAAGAGAATCAAGAATCGGGTGTGATGTTATGCATTTTTTTATTTTTTTGTTTTTTTTGGCATGTGAAAATGCATTAGTAATGAAATCGGAAAAAAAACGAGATGAGCTGGGTATAGATAAGCCGTGCTCTGGATACTTACTACATATAACAAGCCACAACTATGGATCAGAAATTCAGAATGGATCAAGAATCGGGTGTGATGGTTTGCGTTTTTCCGCATGCGAAAATGCATGACTAATGAAATCGGAGAAAAACGAGGTGAATGGGCATAGATGAAACTTGCTCCGGCTACTTACTAAGTCACAACTATGGATCAGAAAATCGAATGAATCAAGAATCGGGCGTGATGGTATGCGTTTTTCGCATGTGGAAATGCATTAGTAATCGGAGAAAAACGAGCCGAGCTAGGCATAGATAAACCTTGCTAAGGGCTACTTACTACTTAACAAGTCATCCCCATTTTCACTATTTGCTGGACAAATCTTTTACAAACTGTTGATGATGATTGAGATCGAAGCACATGGAGCCAAGCATTTCTTGCCATTTTTGTCTGCGGTAATTTCTGCTTCTGATTTGTTCAAGGAGGACATGAGGATATGTGTTACGAAGGGCATTTGGTCTAGTGGTATGATTCTCGCTTAGGGTGCGAGAGGTCCCGAGTTCAATTCTCGGAATGCCCCAGTTTTAATGATTTTTATTTGTTTTTTCTATTTTATCTTTTGGCCTTTTGAAGAACTGGTGGACAAAAATTTGCTCTATTAATCACAACCCAGTGGCAGAAGATATAATCCAACTGACTAGCTACCTTTTTATGGTGTATATGGAAAACGAGAAATTTATGGCTATTCGAGAATGTTTGGAGATCAGAGATTCACACTGTCAACTTAGCCCTTCAAGATTGGTGTGAAACTTTCTCAGTGTACAGGTCTTTAGTTTGGTAGGTTTCTCTTAGTGTAGGTTTTTTTCTTTCCTTTTTGTTTTTTGTTGTGGCTTCTTTGGTAGTGTTTTGTTAGCTTGCTAGGTCCCTTGTGGGTGCAGTAGCAAGTTAATTTTGTTGCCTTGGTGTAGTTGCTCTCGATTAGACTAGGTAGGAGTTAGGCGATCGTTTGCGGGGTTCAAAGTTTACCTTTGCCGGAAGTGAAACCTCTCTCTTGTTCTATTTAGGAGAGTTACTCCTCTGTTTGTATGGGCTTGGCCTAAAACTTATTTCACTGTAAATATTAATTTTGCCATTTCGAAAAAAAAAAAAAA